GCTGGACAACAGGTCCCATCATTATTTATTATTACCTTTTTATTTATTAAATTTGTATACCGCCCTTCATCTGAAGATCTCAGGGCGGCTCACAGCATCATCCCTGACCATTGACTATGATGGCTGGGACTTGATAGAGAAATCCACAAATTTGGTTTAGGTTTAAGGATTAAAACACAATGAACTCTTTCCTAGCTAAAAAATAATAATTGAGAAGCCGAGTAGCCTAATTCAAAAGGGTAAAGCTGATGGCTAGCTGCTAGAACAAACTTTTGCAAATGTTCAGCTGATTCAGTAGAGCTTTCCCTTTCTCTCCAGCTCAGTGCCCGTCAAATCCCAGAACCCCCAGAACATCACATGGGGAGAGGAGAGGGGATGCAGAGGTGGTGTGTTCCATTTTGCAGGTTGAGGCAAAATGAATGCATGCCACACACCCCTGCTGCTCCCCTGTCACCAGTGCCACACCTGTGTTACCTGCATGAAATGCCCATGAAGCGCCGGCTTCCAATGAGAGCTCACAAGAGCTCACCAAAATCTCCCGAGATCTCATGTGTTCTGTCACCTTAGTGTAACAGTGAATTTTACCCTCAGCTTTATGTTAGATTTTTAAAAATAAATATTTTATTGTTTTCACATTTTCCATAACATCCATATTTTATGGGACGCGGGTGACGCTGTGGGTTAAACCACAGAGCCTAGGACTTGCCGATCAGAAGGTCGGTGGTTCGAATCCCTGTGACGGGGTAAGCTCCCGTTGCTTAGTCCCTGCTCCTGCCAACCTAGCAGTTTGAAAGCACGTCAAAGTGCAAGTAGATAAATAGGTACCGCTCCGGCGGGAGGGTAAACGGTGTTTCTGTGCGCTGCTCTGGTTTGCCAGAAGCGGCTTAGTCATGCTGGCCACATGCCGGCTCCCTCGGCCCATAAAGCGAGATGAGCACCGGAACCCCAGAGTTGGTCACGACTGGACCTAATGGTCAGGGGTCCCTTTACCTTTACCTTTTACCATATTTTATATCTTTCTTTTTTTTACAACTTAACCTTCAGACCCCCTCCCTTCCCTTCACGGGCTTCTAAAATAACCCCCAATTAACTGCATGTTATTAATATACAAATTCTTAATAAAATATGTAAAAAAATAATCCTATAATAAGCATTCACAATACAAGCTCCTCACAATTCTGCCAATAATTTTAAGAGCTTACAATGGTCTTTTAAATAATTCAAATATTTACTCCATTCTTTTTCAAATACTTGATCTCCTTGGTTTCTGATCTTTCCTGTCAGTCTTGCCATTTCTGCATAGTCCATTAGCTTAGTTTGCCAATCTTCTTTTGATGGTAGTTCTTCTTGTTTCCATTTCTGGGCTAGTAATACTCTTGCTGCTGTTGTTGCATACATAAATAATTGTTTGTCTTTTCTCGGTAGCTCTTCTCCTATTATACCTAACAAAAAGGCTTCTGGTTTCTTAACAGATGTATATTTAAACATTTTCTTTAACTCATTATAGATCATTTCCCAGAACAACTTTACTTAATCACATACCCACCACATATGGAAAAGAGTACCTTCCTTCTTTTTACATTTCCAGCAAATATTTGAACTAATTTTATACATCTTTGCCAGTTTGCTTGGTGTTAAATACCAACGATATATCATTTTCATATAGTTTTCTTTCAACGCACAGCATGCAGTCTTCTTTAACTTTTTTTCAGCTTTATGTTTGATTGGCTAAACTTGCACTGGTAGTCCCTCACCTTTCCCTCACATTTCATATTAGTAATAGTAATAGTAATAGTAATAGTAATAGTAATAGTCACTATTAGTAATAGTCACTGGCAAACAGTGCAACAGAACATGACAGTCATGGCTGGTTCACATGGTGATTTCCAAATGGATAGCTCTTCCCATCAGGTTGGACATAGTGTGGTAATTCCGTCTTGTGATGTCAGCATGACGCCACAGGGTTTGACATCCCACCATATCTTGCCTCGTCCCAGTTTCCTAACAATTCCAGCAGTATGCTGTGAAGCACCACACTAATTCCAGCATTGTGCTGCGAAGCATTGCACCACATTGATTATTGTGTGGGAAGTTCACCAAATTGAAATTCAGACCACAGAGGCATAACAACATAATGAAATTGGGCAATTGAAGGAGGCAGAGAATTCCTTTGTGATTCATCCAGTAGAGACTTCTGAGCAAATCAGTCAGGCTCTGTGTGCTCATGTTTCTTTGGTTTGTCTCCATTGTGTTTTAGCATGAGCCTGGGGAAACGTAGTTTGCCACAACAGATTACATTATCATTGTTTATTTATGTTATTATTTATTAATTTGCTGTACCTCCTTTCATCTGAGGATCACAAGGTGGTTTACAATATACCTAACATAATAACAAACAAAAACTATAACCCTCCCCACAGTTTAAAAGGCCATAGATTGTTTAATTACCCAAAGGCCTAGAATAAGATGAATGTTTTTGCTTGGCGCCTAAAGATAGGGATGCGGGTGACGCTGTGGGTTAAACCACAGAGCCTAGGACTTGCCGATCAGAAGGTCAGAGGTTCGAATCCCCGCGACGGGGTGGGCTCCCGTTGTTCAGTCTCAGCTCCTGCCAACCTAGCAGGTCAAAAGCACGTCAAAGTGCAAGTAGATAAATAGGTATCGCTCCGGCGGGAAGGTAAACGGCGTTTCCGTGCGCTGCTCTGGTTCGCCAGAAGCGGCTTAGTCATACTGGCCACATGACCCAGAAGCTGTCTGTGGACAAACACCGGCTCCCTCGGCTTATAGAGCGAGATGAGCGCACAACCCCAGAGTTGGTCACGACTGGACCTAATGGTCAGGGGTTCTTTTACCTTTACTAAAGATATGGCATGAAGGTGCTAGGCGAGCCTCCCTGGGGAGAGCATTCCACATCAGGAAGTCACTCCTGAAAATACTTCTTGCTTTGCCACCCTCCAGACCTCTCATAGAGGAGGGACCTGAAGAAGGGCCTCAGATGATTATTACAGGGTCCGGGTAATTTCATAAGGAGAGAGGTGGTCATTGAGGTATCGCGGTCCTGAGCCATTTAAGGCTTTACAGTCATACTCGGGATAAATACGCTTCAGGATAAGTATTTTCGGGTTGCGCTCCGTGGCGACCCGGAAATAACGGAGTGCGTTACTTCCGGGTTTCGCCACTTGTGCATGCGCAGACGGTCAAAATGATGTCACGCGCATGCAAGGAAGCGGCGAAATGCGACCCACGCACGCACAGATGCGCAGTCACGTTTTACGTTCTGTTTAGGATGCGAACGGGGCTCCGGAATGGATCCTGTTCGCATCCCGAGGTACCACTGTATAGGTCAAAACCAGCACTTAGAATTGGGCCCCTGCTCTTCCCAGCTCCTCGCTTCCCAGCCACATCTCCCCTCAAGAAAAAAGCAACAGTAACAAAACCCCACATATTTTTTTAAAAAAACACACAGAGTTAAAACGATTGTAGCAGCGAAGCTGCCAGATGCACAGATATGAACTTGTGCAGCAAGGAACAAGCTGTTTCGCTTGTAGCAGTAGCTGAGAAATTTTCTGGAGCTGGAAACCCAGTGAGCTCAGTGAGGAGCTATTAACCCTGCAAAAGCACAGAGGTGTCGGAGACTCATACAGTGGTGCCCCGCAAGACGAATGCCTCGCAAGACGGAAAACCCGCTAGACGAAAGGGTTTTCCATTTTGGAGGTGCTTCGCAAAACGAATTTCCTATGGGCTTGCTTCGCAAGACGAAAATGTCTTGCGAGTTCTTGCAGGGTTTTTTTCCTTTCTCCCCCCTTTCCCCCAAGCCGCTAAGCCGCTTATCAGCTGATCCGCTAAGCCGCTAAGCCGCTTATCAGCTGATGCGCTAAGCCACTTAACAGCTGATCCGCTAAGCCGCTAAGCCGCTTAACAGCTGATCGCTAAGCCACTTATCAGCTGATCCGCTAAGCCGCTAAGCCACTTAACAGCTGATCCGCTAAGCCGCTAAGCCACTTAACAGCTGATCTGCTAAGCCGCTAATGGACGAAAAAAACGCAAGACGAAGAGACTCGCGGAACGGATTCTATTCGTCTTGCGAGGCACCACTGTATATCCAGCTCCTTCTCTACCTGCTCTTATGCTAAGTCATTGTTTGCAGCAGGTCCTCCCTTCTATACCTTCCCCAAGTGTGTGTGTGTGTGGAGATCCCTACTTTGGGAAGTGATGCAGAGGGCTCACTATCAAATATTGGCTCCCAGTACGTTTCCGAGCACAATTCAAAGTGTTGGTGCTGACCTTTAAAGCCCTAAATGGCCTCAGTCCTGTATACCTGAAGGAGTGTCCCACCCCTATCTTTCTGCCAGCGCTGAGGGCCTTCTGGCGGTTCCCTTGCTGTGAGAAGCCAAGTTACAGGGAACCAGGCAGAGGGCCTTCTTCGTAGTGGCACCCACCCTGTGGAACGCCCTCCCACCAGATGTCAAAGAGAAAAATAACTACCAAACTTTTAGAAGACATCTAAAGACAGCCCTTTTTAGGGAAGCTTTTAATGTTTAATAGGTTATTGTATTTTAGTGTTTTGTTGGAAGCCGCCCAGAGTGGATGGGGGGACCCAGCCAGATGGGCGGGGTATAAATAATAAATAAATAAATAAATAAATTATATTATTATATATTATATTATTATTATTATTATTATTAAAGAGGAGAAGTCTCATAAGGACTCTCCTTGGCTAGAAATGACACTTAGAGAAAAGTTTCCTGCTTGGGGTTGTGAGGCTTGACTCTAATAAATTTCTGCTTATTCGTTTCTCTAACTCTTTAACACTTTTTCTAAAATATGCAATATAAACCGGGCAGGTGTTTTGTGAAGTACTGCATTGCATCAGTGAGAAGCAAAACTTTTCCCCATTTTATGCTATACCATTCATTTCCCATCCTATTTGTATATATGCATGTTAATGGGCACCCTCAAACACCCATATCCATTCATTTATTGTTGCTTTTTTATATCAGCACAAAGAAGAAACTCCTTTCAGACTCCTCACAATAAGAATACTGAGAGCCAGGAATATCCAGAAGGCAGATATTTGTGAGTATCTCTGTTGCTGCCAAATATTCCATCCTTCTAGAGCTGGGTGGGCAGACTTGCAGATCTACTTTGTTTTTGGTTTTGCTAGAACCCTGAGGTTGATCAACCACAGCCAGGTACAAAATAGTGGCTCAGCTGGGCAGCCATAGTCTGTGTACACCTTACCAGCTTAAAATGCAACGAGGCTTTTCTTTTTCTCAGTCCAGATTAAAGCTGGTTTGGGGGGAAATGCATCAAAATACAACACTGCATGAGAAATGCCAGGATAGATACAGGATATGTATGGATTGGGGCTAATGTTGTGTGCACCCTGCTTCCCAAACCAGTGGTGGGAGTGCACTGTATGCAGAGTAAACAGAAATGTGTCCCATTTAGCCATATGCTAAGAATTAAGGAACAGGGTGCCTTTGTGCACATGATCAAACTGGAAATTTGTGATTAGTAGCACAGTTGAGCTCTCAAGCCTTTTCACAGAAAAATCCACTCCTGGAGAATTGAAGTTGTGGCAGAGACTTTCATAGCTTTAAGAAATATGGTGTATTCACATATTTACAACATCAGTCTGCGTGGAGAGAGTCTAGATTTTACAGTATGGTCATTTCAAGCAGGGCTTGTTCCCCACAGCAGTGCAGAACAGGCGTCAAAGGCATCTCTCCCAGCCAGCCTTCAGCCATCCTGCCCAAGATGGATCTCTGTCTTTTTTCTTCCCCTTCTTCCCAGCACACCTTGCTAAAGACACCCTTAGTTGTCATCTCACACCCAGTTACCCTGGCAATCTTCTGTCTGCCCAGGCCCAAGTTTCCTCTTAGATGGGCAAATAATAATAATAATAATAATAATAATAATAATAATAACGACAACAACAACAAAAACAACAACAACAATTTATTTATACCCCGCCCATCTGGCTGGGTTTCCCCAGCCACTCTGGGTGGCTCCCAACAGATTAAAAGCCTTTTGTCATGTTAATGCCTCTATCCCAGGTGAGGTTTGGAAAGGAAGCTTAGCTTGTATTTTTCTACTGGCCTGCAATCTTTACTTCAGTACTCCAGATAATGAAAATTCTACTGTTTATTAATTTCTAGGGTTTTGGGGGTCCCCACCTCCAAAATGTATAACACAATTGTTGAAGTTGCTACTGCTTTGGTAAACTGAGCATTCAGTCTTCATGCAATGTTTGCAAACAGTTCCCTTATTTCTGGAGTGAGTCTATCGGCAAGAGAAGCCTTGTCATGATCCCTCAGGATCCTGCTGGCATCTATATGATGAAGGAGGAACATGGACTGAGTCAAGGTAGACCACCAGGGTCATCTGAAAGATACTTTCTACTTGACCTTACACAGGGGTAGCATTCTGCCCACACTGCCACTTCCCTTACAAAGCTAGCACAAAATAAAAAAATCCTTCCTGTAGCACCTTAAAGACCAACTAAGTTAGTTCTTGGTATAAGCTTTCGTGTGCATGCACACTTCTTCAGGTATCTGAAGAAGTGTGCATGCACACGAAAGCTTATACCAAGAACTAACTTAGTTGGTCTTTAAGGTGCTACAGGAAGGATTTTTTTATTTTGACTATGGCAGACCAACACGGCTACCCATCTGTAACTAAAGCTAGCACAGTGGCAGCTTCTCACCAGAATCTTATGAGATTCCGTGCATTCTGTGAGGTCTCGTGAGATTTTGGTGAGATCCCGCCAGAAGCTGCTGCTGCCTCTACTCCTACTCCACCAATGGAGGGAGCAGTGGGTTGGAATTTAGTGAATAGGAAGGCCATGATGCTTCATTTTCTTCTTCTTCCAAAATCAGGATTTGTTTTTGACACCAAAGTGCTTCAGAACAAATCAAGCTGTACAAAATCAGGCTGTGAACTGAATCTTGTGGTTGGTGCACACCCCGGTTTCATACCACAGTAATCATGTTGCAAAGGAAATCCACACTGTCCACCAGATTCCATGAACCTTCAAATGACTAGTCTCATCCAGCCTTTCTGAATAATGTTTGATTGTCAGGGGAGTCCTTTAAAAACAACTCCGTTAAAACAAAACCAAACCTAAATTTATGAAGCTCCATGGAAAAAGCATCCTTAATTTTAATGCCCCCCTCCCCAATTCTCAAAAGATGGTTCCTTATTGATTGGAAAGGTTTGTCTTCTTGAGTTATATGTAGAAAACAAGTTAATTCTGGTTACGTTGCAAATGTTTGGCCCAGGTTATCTCTGTGACTTCCTTTCATTTTAGACACCTGGGGCAGACAGATATGTTGTCTGACAGGCAGAATACTTCATAGCTATTAGGAACATGATACAGTGCGTGCCCCAGTGACTCCACCACACTTTGTTTCCTGCTTATAGCTTCAAGTAATGGCTTATTAATTGTAACAATTAGTCAATTGCCACTCTGTGGCATTACAGAAACATGAAACATCTTAACATTGCTGTTTCATATATTGTTACACGGGGACTGCTGTTGTGTCATTTGGCAGCAACACAGGATCCAAAGGCAACGTTTGATTTCCTAATCCTGCCAGCCACAGGGAGAAGGAGAAGGTGATCTGCTTTGACCAATGGTTTCACTATGCTCAAGTAGGAATATTGAGTTTTCATCCTCTAGTCCCACATTCCTGCTCCTCCTTGCTTCATGGGATAAAGCCTTCTATCCTTCACCCTCCTTTTGGACTTCAATGGTCATGCTCACATGTCATAATGACCAAGCCCAGTTTTCTGGTTCATTGTGGTTCTTCTTGTGTGTCAGCAGCGTGCTGCTCCATCCTCCATGGTCATTCCCATTTTGCTGCTCCCAGGAATGAATGGGAGAAACAAATTAGGAAACCACAAATAAGCTTGGCTTCCTGTTTCCTCACATCTGAATGCCCCTCTTCCTTTCCCAATAAGCCAATTTGTTATTGTCTTATGGCAGCCTTTCCCAGCCTGGAGCCCTCCAGTTAACTTAAGGACGTTCATGGAAGGAAAGTTTCTCATCCCTTTCCTCCTTCCCTCCCACCATCAGCTCCAGCCTGCATTGTTTATGAAGGCCCACAACCCACCAGAGGATTTTAGGGGCACAGCTGGCCATGGGGTAAGGCAGGTGGAGGGAAGAGGATTATTTCCTTCTCTGAACTTTCTTGTTTTTGGATCCATGCTGATGAGCATTAAATGGGATAGAAGGGTGGGGATGTGGCTTTTTTAATTAACACCCAAGGTATTACATATTCAAGACAATGCTAAACGAGTGTGACTCCTTTGAAGATTGCAGCCACCAAGTGATTCATTATTGTTGACTTACATTGCTACATGGCAATTAATTACCAGTCACTGGACACATACGAGTTCAACACTCTGCAAAATGTCTTTTCTTGTACATGTAAAAATGCAAAGCTCTTAAGTGCTGGCTAGTGATGACAAAATGATATGCTTATTAGGAAAGAGGTGATGTAATAGGAAGCTGCAATTATGTAAGAGAGAGGCCTAAAGTTTGAGACAAATGGTACAGGTGGATTCTTTCACGCTCTTTATGAATAATAATAATAATAATAATAATAATAATAATAATAATAATAAATTTTATTTCTATTCCGCCCTCCCCAGCTGAAGCCGGGCTCAGGGTGGCTAACAACAATAAAACAGTACAATGAAGAGGTATTTTTAAACTATTGGCAAAAAGTATATAATACAGATTGTATATAATATCTATATAGACAGTATATATTATATACTGTATATAATAAGATTTAAGGACACTGGAATTTTGGCTAGTTTGGACATTGTTGTTACATGCCACCCTAATCTCTGTGTGGTGTGAGATTACCCAAGATTTGGTTTCTTCAGAATAATGGACAGCGGCGACTGTGGTGTCTTTATGATATGTGGTTTATTTGCATATATATACAACCTGAACCTACGATGGAGGGGCTCACAGCCTTAATACCCCAGAAGGCCTTGATTCTCCCTGTCAGGGGTGCTTCTCAGCCAAAGGAATGCACAAGGCAGATAGCGAAATATCTATTATCAAAGATAACACAGTCACTTCTACAGCTCTGGATATATACGCACACCAATAGTAGTAGTAGTAGTAATAATAATAATAATAATAATAATAATAAAAACAAATTTTTATTTATATCCTGCCCTCCCCAGCCGAAGCCGGGCTCAGAACTACAGTGGCGTAGCATGGGGATTGCAAAAGGGCAGTTGTCTCAGGCTCAAAATTATTAGGGCCACAAAATTTCAACACCCAGTGCTGCCTCAATACAGCTGTGCACTTCCAATGCCGGGCTCTGTTGAAAGCTGCTTCTCCATGTGAACCAGGAAGTGGCCTTTCCAGTCAATGGAATGACTCTTATTTTCTTATCTCTGTTGCTGCTCTCTCCCGGGTGATGTGGATGCTGTTAGACAGTTGAATGTGCATGCTAACTTCCTCCATTTCCCTCCCTCCTACCCTGTCCTCTGCGCAGCCCTGGACACTGGCAACCCACGCTATGCTACTGAATGGTTAGGCAGCTATTTCCAGGTCTGTGCTCTATGGAGCAGTTGTGGAAACAGGGCCACCCCTCCCCACCAGTTTATGTACCTCCCTGCCGACGGGCTGTGTGCCTGCAGCCCGTGATGGTGCCTGCATGGAAACTTCCTTTGCTCATCCCTTTTCACTTCCTTCCTGGTTCTGGGAGACAGTGGTGCAGGGGAGGGTACGGAAGCACCCAGCCCTTCACTTGCCTGGCCTGCCTCTTCCTCCTCTTCCTCTAGCTCTGAAATTTGCCTCCTGCCTCTGATTCTTGCCTCCTGGCTGGTACAGATCCCCACCAAACACTCCCCCCCATCTCCCGAGTCAGACTCCAGCACCCCTTCCCTATTGCCCTCACAGAGCTACAATTCCCTAAGTGGTTTAACAGACAGTCCCTCCTCCCAGGAAACTGTACTTTGGCTCTGGGAGGGGAATATGGGTCTCTTAACAAACTCTACTTTTTTTGGGGGGGGGAAACCATGACTGGTTAAAGTGGTATGATACTGCTGTAAATTTATAATGCAGATTTATAATGCAAGACAAGTATTGAGGATGGTGAATCCGAGGAAGGCGGCTGGACCTGATGGCATCACTGGAAAGGTGTTGAAGGGCTGTGCGGATCAGCTGGCGAGGGTCTTTACTAAGATCTTCAACAAGTCCTTACACCAGTCTATTGTCCCACCCTGCCTGAAGTCGTCAACTATTGTCCCTCTGCCAAAAAAATCCACAATCAGTAGTTTGAATGACTACAGACCAGTTGCACTGACTCCAATCATCATGAAGTGTTTTGAGAAACTGGTGCGCCGTCATATTATTTCCTGTCTTCCATCAACTTTTGACAACTACCAGTTTGCATACAGGGCAAATAGATCCACAGAAGACGCTATCACCACCACTCTCCATGCTGCTCTGTCCCATCTGGAGCAGCCGGGGAATTATGTGAGGCTGCTGTTTGTGGATTTTAGCTCTGCTTTTAACACTATCCTCCCCCATAGACTGGTGTCCAAGCTAGAGACGATTGGACTCTCCAACTCCACCTGTCTCTGGGTTTTGGATTTTTTGTCAGAACGTTCTCAGAGGGTTAGAGTAGGGTCACATGTGTCCACAGCCCTTAGCCTTAACACCGGCTCACCACAGGGTTGCGTGTTGAGTCCCCTGCTCTATGCTCTCTATACGTATGACTGTACAGCCATCTACTCCAGCAACAAAATCATCAAGTTTGCTGATGATACTACGGTGGTGGGGCTCATTTCAGGAGGGGATGAGTCCGCCTATCGGGACGAGGTGGAGCGGCTCTGTGTTTGGTGTGGAGAGAACAATCTGGCTCTTAATACGGCTAAGACCAAGGAATTGGTGGTGGATTACAGGAAAAAAAAGGTGGACATTCAGCCCTTGTATATCAACGGGGAACGGGTGGAGAGGGTGGCGGAATTCAGGTTTTTGGGAGTGACTATCGATCAGGGCATGACTTGGAGCGCAAATACCACTGCTCTGGTGAAGAAGGCCCAGCAGAGAATTTATTTCCTCAGACTTTTAAAAAAGAACAATCTGAGTGAGAGACTGCTGGTGTCCTTCTACCGAGGCTCCATAGAGAGCATACTTACATACTGTATTTGTGCTTGGTTCTCCAGTTGTACAGCTAGGGAGAGGAAGGTGCTCCAGAAGGTCATAACCACAGCCCAAAGGATTATTGGTCACCCTCTCCCACCTTTGGAAGAACTGTACGGTTCCCGTTGCCTTAGGAAAGCAAACAACATCCTGCAGGATCCATCTCACCCGGGATACAGTCTGTTTGCACTACTGCCTTCTGGCAGGAGGTATAGAAACATCAAGTCAAGGACAAATAGACTGAAAAACAGTTTCTATCCAAGAGCTGTGGCCTTTTTGAATGCTGTAACTTGATAGTGAGACCTGGGAGTTTGATGGGTGTGGGTGTGGGTGTGGTTGGAAGGTGGTTAGTTTGGTTGTTGTTGTTGTTTTGCTTTTGTTGTTTTTAAGGGATGGCATCCAATTTCGTTGCACTTGTGCAATGTTGCACTTGTGTAATGACAATAAAGAATCTATCTATCTATCTATCTATCTATCTATCTATCTATCTATCTATCTATCTAGAGGCCTCAGTAATGCTCTATCTGTTTCAGCGTTGAAGGACCCCTGTATAATTTATCATCTTATTCTACAGTTACTGAATCTGATTGCTACGTGTGTCTATCCTTGCCAACTGCTACAAGTGAAAAAGTCCGGACCATAACTGTTTCCAACAGTAAAAATCCAGTGTGGAATCAATCCTTTTGCTACAGGATTGACAGCCGTGTAAAGGTGAGACCATGTGTATTTTCTTCCATGTTGATCATAAGTGTGGGCAATTCTAATTAGGTTCTATTAACAAATGAATCTTATATACTATTCCCAAACTCATTCTCTGACATCTGCATGCAAGAGGGAAGTGGCAGTGGGTTTGGAGGAACTCAAAGGGTTGCAGAAACCCTAAAATATATTTAATGAAAAAACCTATGTGTGTGTGGGGGGGACGGACGGACAGGGAACCCACCACAAAACAGTGTAGTAAAGACTGATCATGCTCAGCAGCCCCCTCACCAACTGTCAGGTGGGGGGTTGAGAAAATTGGGGTAGAGGGGTAATGGATTGGAATGGAATATCCTGGAAGAAGGCTGAGCTGGCTGGCTGGAAGCCTGAGCAGGAGCAGTCCAGACTGCAACATCTCACAAGGGAACCAAATGGATTCCACACTAAATGAGCATAGTGACCCAAAGCATTAAAAATAATAATTTAAGCAGTATGTAAGCAAAATGTGGTTATTTACCTTTAGTAATCCCCCCCTCATAAGATGAACTCCCAAAGTGTGCAACACTGTTGTTTAAAATTAAGAATTTCATTCATTTTTTCAAGTTTACATTTATAAACGCTGTTAAACAAAACTAAAATAAGCTTACAGACTCTCTTACAATAGCAATCTTCACAAGGCAGTTTACAGAGTGAAATAAAAGCAAGTGCATTGTTAAAACAATATAAAAGCACAGCTGAAAATTATAGAAAACAATAGAAAAATAGCAGTCTCCAAAATTTCTTTACCTGCTTCTGAAAAGAGAACGGCAAAGAACATAAGTGAATTTCCCCATGGGAATGAGTTGCCCCAGATAGAGATCAAATTTACCTCCCAAATGGGTGACGTTTGGAGTTGACATCTTAAAACGCAGCTTATGGGGGAGAGGCCTATACGTAAGTTTTAGGAGTGAGGAACCAGAAGGATAGGCTGTTTTATTTACATATCCCTCATGGACCCAAAGAAACAGAACTTGCATATGCTAGCCTGCATAGTTCATTTGTCATTTCTTTGAAACTCAAAATACAGTTTTCTAAAAAGAATTATTATCACAATGTGTTTCTATTACTAGAATATTCTGGAGCTAAAAGTCTGTGATGAAGATACATTCACCAAAGATGACCACCTTTTCACAGTTCTCTTTGATGTCGGTAAACTGCAAACTGGGCGAACTAGTCGTGTGAACTTCAACTTGAATCCAGCGGTGAGTGGTTGAAGTTACACTGAGAAATATACGTACAGTGAAACAACTGCATGCCTGTGACATAGTGGCTCAGTTTCCATGGAGCACTAAGTTAAACTATTGCTTAAAGGACATTACTCTTGCTTTGCTCAGTTTTCTAGTTCTGCAGTTGCAGTGAGCTAAGCCATGGCTCGTGCTTTATCTCCTCAAGACAAACCAAGGGATGTAGCCCTCTAACAAACTTTGTGGTTTGTCTGGAGTGAGTCAAACCATAATCCTGGGTTCAGATGATGTGCTATGCCAACCATGGTTTAGGTCTCTGCATTGTAGAAGCAGCAGGACTAGATGAGAGAGCAAAGCAGATGGATTTTCCTATCTGGGAACCTGAATGCTTATATGCATTCATGATAAGCATGACTTAGCAGTACATGTGAACCAGCTCATTGCATTATTGGACCCTGCATTAGAAACTCGCTTTATTGCATTTCGATTAATGCGTGGATTTTTAAATAACATTTCCGGGGCACACAGGCTGATATGATAATGACCAAAAGTGTGAACATCTCAGCAATTCTGGCACGCAGAAACTGAATTTTGTCAACATTTGGTCATTTGTGTGCATTTTAAAGAGTAAACCTGTTTGCTGATTTTGCTCATGTATAATGTTGATAGCCAAATTATCGCTTAAATGCTTTTTCAAAATTAAGCTCTCTTCAAAGTTTAAATCACAATGCCTGTGATCACAAACATAGAAGTTTTTGCCTTTTAACTTTGAAAATCATGGAGTTTGTCAGTGGGGGGAAAATGAAAATCCAATATATTCAGGGTTGTTTAGTTAATTTATTTTTATTATTAAATATGGAAGTATAAAATAAGTCACTAAAGCTTAATTGCATTAGAATCCTTTAGAGTGAGTATGACAAAATAATATTGTGTTTCATATTGTTACAAACAAGAGATGTACTTGCTACTTTACTTCACTGCTTTTAGAATCAACTTTTGCAACAACACATTTTCTGGACCTGAAGGAATAATTGAATTATGTTCAGATACACAAGTGTGACTTCCCAGATGTAAACTTGCATTAGCTCAGTTCATACGTAAGGGAAAGCCATGGTTTACTGCTACGTTTATACGTCTACTCAATCCCCCTCTCAACTTATTTTGTGTACCAGAGGAGATTGGAAGACATTGTTCCTGATTTAGAAGAAGTCAGTATTCCTTGTGACATCTGAACTCTGGGAACTGTGGATTGTTTAAATCATGGCTTGAGAACAGTCAAATCCTGGTTTAATTTCACTAACCATAATTTAAACAAATCAAAGTCCCCCAAGATTGAATGTCATGGGGAATACTGGGTTGTTTAAAATTGGAAATGGAAGCTTCCTGTCTCCTTCCTCATGGGCATGAAAGGAGAGGAGAAATAGTGGGACTGTTTTCAGGAAGGAACTAAGGTTGTAGCATCCAAATAGTGTCTACATTGATATTGAAATACTGTGAACACATAAAATGATACTTATGATAATGAGGCACAATCATTACTTGACTCTACTTTCTTCTCTGCAAGCTGGGAGAAGGGTAAAGTGCCAAAAATAAAATATTATCAGTGGATATGTAGAAAAGGAGATTTTGTATAGGGAGGAGTCATTCTTTTTCCTATTTTTTTTTTTAGACACAGGAAGAGTTGGAGGTAGAGTTCACATTACAGCCCATGTGAGTACAACTCTTAATATTGCAAAGACTCTATAATTTATGTGCAGAATCACATCAGTGCGGCTATAAGAGGCAATTATAATTTAACTTGTGTGTTTGCGTGTAACACAGATGTTGGGGAGACTGTGGTTGTAATGGTCGATTAGCAGGGCTTCTGCAAACACATTTCTTGCGTGGCTTAGGAATCTGTTATTTGCTGGTGTGTTTGCCTTGGTGAGAGAAATTAGCTGTGCTGAGATTACTCAATGAAACCGAAAAGAGGCTCATTTTTTTACCATCAGCATTTGAGCTGAATTATGAGCATACAATAGGATACAAAATACAAAGCAAAGAAGAAGAAAAAGTCTAGCCAATTCAAAATATGGCAGGTTTCAAAATGCAAATTCAAAACCATTTCTTCCATGCTAATGAAATCTGGTGTAATGATGTGGTAGCACTTTGAGGGGAAGTGTGTGGGAGAAGCCCTCTTGCACTTGTAAGAGCTTTGCACTGGCTTCCATTAGCAGAATAGCTTAGTTGAATCTGGTCCCAAGATTTTTATTTTTTATATTAAAATTCAGAGAATGTTATCCACTGAAAGAGTGGCTGTGAAACTTTATGTTGGTTCTGTGGTGGCCTCAGTCTTTGGCCCTCTGTGTGTTCCAGCCCTGTTTGGATTAGTATATTCACTATCAGGTATCATTCTTCAGGCTGAAAAACTGGCTGCATAGTGGTGTCTTATTTCCTTATAGCATTTTTATCCCAGAAAGAAGGTGAAACACATACAACCGGAACCCATTTATACTCTGCTTATGTTTTACTCTTTGTGTCTTAAAAATGCCTGGAAGGGAACTCACCTGGAAATATTTTAAATTGTGTGTCTTTGTTTATTAAAAATTGGCACTAACTGCAAATGACCTTAGTCCCAGGAGCTTTGGGAGATGGAGTGCATGCATCTAAGGGATGCTCCAAATATGTTCAAATAATGTGGGAGAAGTGTGCAAGCGGAGTGCAGCACACTATGTGTACCTCTCCTGGATCTGCTTCACTACCTATATGGGTTGGGAAAATGTGAATCACTAACCTCACTTGTACACCATGCAGTGAAAGAAGTCAGGTGAGCAGCAGTTGCCAATAGTTTTCCATTCCCCCTGCGTGGATTCATCACGTTTGAAGTGGCCCTAAGATTTGACGCTGGTCCTTCTGAAAGGACAAGGGCATGTGATTTCAGATGTTTTCTGACCATGTCTCTATACATGTTTTCAAAATGCAAGGAGGCCCGACCATTTTAGATGGGGAAGATAAATCAAGGAGGTGTCAGTGGGGGGCTCAGGTGGGGTGACACTGATGCTTCACACCTCAGCAAGGCATTGGCTTGGCCACAGAGGGCCCAGGCAGGCAGTTGCTGCCAGCAGCAGGAGTTTGAATGGCGTGGCAGCAACTGGTCTGGGGTGTTCTCATTTTGTCATTTGGACAGTGCAGCCTCAGGCAGACAGGGCAGGGGGAGTTCGTTCTGCTGCCCTTGCTTATCTGCCACTGGAGACAAGTACAGTGGTACCTCGGGTTAAGAACTTAATTCATTCCGGAGGTCTGTTCTTAACCTGAGGTACCACTTTAGCTAATGGGGCCTCTCGCTGCCGCCGCGCTATTTCTGTTCTCATCCTGAGGTAAAGTTCTTAACCCGAGGTACTATTCCTGGGTTAGCGGAGTCTGTAACCTGAAGCGTCTGTAACCCGAGGTACCCCTGTAGCTCAGTGTGGTTCATGAAGGCTAAACATCACTTGAAACATCTCATCACAGAATCATAGAGTTGGAAGGAATCACTAACTCTTAAGCAGGTGGTGTTATTTTAACTTTGGTTTAATAATTTCTATTGGAACAACTTTCAGTTTGTATGCCATGCCATTTTTCTGGGAATTTTATGTGTGGATTTGTAAAGGGGAACTTCTTGTTCCAAGTACAGCCAGTTCTCTCTCTCTCTCTCTCTCTCTCTCTCTCTCTCTCTCTCTCTCTCCACTCTCCCATCACTACATACCTGGCATTGGAAATTACATTTACATTTGGTATTATATGCCATCACAACCATAACAAAATTGATTGATTCAATAGTTAACATTAATTTTTTATTTTACTTAACAAAATATGTATACCACTTACTCGAACAAAATGCCTCTAAGTGCTTTACAAGACAGTACCAATAAGAAACAAACATTAAAAACAAGATACACAAAAATAAAAATAACAAATAAAATGAGTCATTTAAAAACATTTACACCTACTAAAATCGCATGTCAACATGAAATGCCTGGGTAGAATTGCTGGTACCAAAAAAGGGTGAAATTTTGAATTTAACAACAGTTGTCGGTGTGTGTACATTACAGCATTGCAGCTGCACTTCTTTCTGAAAGCAAGTGTGGTGTAGTGGTTAAGAGCGGTAGACTTGTAATCTGGGGAACCGGTTCGCATCTCTGTTCCTCCACATGCAGCTGCTGGGTGACCTTGGGCCAGTCACACTTCTCTGAAGTCTCTCAGCCTCACTCACCTCACAGAGCGTTTGTTGTGGGGGAGGAAGGAAAAGGAGATGTTAGCCGCTTTTAGACTCCTTCGGGTAGTGATAAAGCAGGATATCAAATCCAAACTCCTCCTCCTACTCTTCCTCCTCCTACTCCTCCTTCTTCTTCTTCTTCTTCTTCTTCTTCTTCTTCTTCGACATCAGTATTTGCTATGGTTGTTACGTGGTCCATGAACAAAATTAGTGATGGGTGAACTCTCTTCAGCTCAATTTGTATATTCCAACACATCTTATTTTTCTGGGCCCAGTACCAATATGTGGAAGTTGTACTGCAGTTCTGATAACATCATGGGGGAGTATGAATGAGTCAAAATGCCATTTCCTCCTCCCATCTCCTTCTCCCACACCTGTAAATTCCTGAATTCTGCCCCTTTCTCTTCACTGACCTTGCTGCAATGGGAGCAATGGCCATTCCTTTCTGATGCCTGGGACACTGAAATGGCAGCAGCAGGGATTCATTAGGGATGTCCAGGAGCCCTGGAAACCACAAGCCCCAAGGCACTTGGGTTTCTGTCATGAGCATGTTTAGCGGCATCTCAGACTCCTGATATCTCTACTGAGTAGTTATTGTTGTGGCACACATGTCCAGAAGTTTACTGAGCCAGAGAAGAACTTTGGGGGACAAAGTGCTCAGTTCACAAGCTGAGTGCTTCAAGCTGGGGAGCATCATGTTGTGAAGCAGGTATGTATGAACTTCACGCTTGAGCCAGATGCCATGGTTTCTCTGACCACTTGGAGCAGCTGTATACAGGGGGTGGCGCTGCGGTCTATGTTAAGTTGTGGGCGAACATATCAGACGACACAGCGATTCTTCCAAAGCAGCTCTTTATTTGTAAGCTGGAACTGAACTGAACTGAGGACCTTGACAGTTTAGAGAACTGGGCAAAAACAAACAAGATGAACTTTAACAGGGAGAAATGTAAAGTATTGCACTTGGGCAAAAAAAATGAGAGGCACAAATACAAAATGGGGGACACCTGGCTTGAGAGCAGTACATGTGAAAAGGATCTAGGAGTCTTGGTTGACCACAAACTTGACATGAGCCAACAGTGTGACGCGGCAGCTAAAAAAGCCAATGCAATTCTGGGCTGCATCAATAGGAGTATAGCATCTAGATCAAGGGAAGTAATAGTGCCACTCTGGTCAGACCTCAGCTGGAGTACTGTGTCCAGTTCTGGGCACCACAGTTCAAGAAGGACACTGAGAAACTGGAACGTGTCCAGAAGAGGGCAACCAAAATGGTCAAAGGCCTGGAAACGATGCCTTATGAGGAACGGCTAAGGGAGCTGGGCATGTTTAGCCTGGAGAAGAGGAGGTTAAGGGGTGATATGATAGCCATGTTCAAATATATAAAAGGATGTCATATAGAGGAGGGAGAAAGGTTGTTTTCTGCTGCTCCAGAGAAGCGGACACGGAGCAATGGATCCAAACTACAAGAAAGAAGATTCCACCTAAACATTAGGAAGAACTTCCTGACAGTAAGAGCTGTTTGACAGTGGAATTTGCTGCCAAGGAGTGTGGTGGAGTCTCCTTCTTTGGAGGTCTTTAAGCAGAGGCTTGACAACCATATGTCAGGAGTGCTCTGATGGTGTTTCCTGCTTGGCAGGGGGCTGGACTCGATGGCCCTTGTGGTCTATTCCAACTCTATGATTCTATGAGGAGCTCAGTCAGCCTGCTTATATAGAGCTCCACTAGAATGCAACAGTAACCATTTTCTGTAACTAGCCAATCACTGAACGTCACTTTCGATCCTTCATTTGCATACAAACTATCCAATCACTGAACGTCACTTTCGATCCTTCATTTGCATAACTATCTACAGTATCCCCCTGCTGGCCCAGGGTGAGAACTTCAGTACATAACAGTCTAAACCACTGAGCCTCTTGCGTTTGCTGATCAGAACGTCAGCAGTTCAAATCCGTGTGATGGAATGAGCTCCCATTGCTCTGTCCTAGCTCCTGCCAACCCAGCAGTCTGAAGGCACACCAGTGCAAACAGATAAATAGGTACCACTGTGGCGGGAAGGTAAACAGTGTTTCTGTGCGCTCTGGCTTCCGTCACGGTGTTCTTTTGTGCCAGAAATGGTTTAGTCATGCTGGCCACATGACCCAGAAAGCTCTCTGTGGACAAATGCTGGCTCCCTTGGCCTGAAAGCGAGATGAGCGTCGCAACCCCATAGTCGCCTTTGACTGGACTTAACCGTCCAGGGGTCCTTTACCTTTTTACACAGGGGTGAGTCATGGAATGCCTTTGCCATCCTCCACTGAGTCTCCACATGGAGGCCAGATTTGCCTAAAGGAGGCAACTGATGCCCCAGCAGGCAAGGACTGAGGAGGTAAGTTCTTCCTCTTCTTCTTAAGTTACTCCATTGGTGTGTTTTTGTTTTACCTGTATTGCTTTGTCGTGACAGCATTTTTTCCTCTTGTTTGTTCATAGGGTCCAAAGACAG